AGACAGACAGACAGATAGATGGATAGATAGGTAGATAGATAGACTTCCTTCATTCTCCATGACAGTGATCCAGGGATCTGTGCAATCCATCTGGAGAAGAACAGGCCTTACCAACCCTTCCCAACAGACCTTCACGGTTCATTCTTTGGCACCAGCTGTGGCCACGTCACCTCCAAGCTCCCAGATGCACTGCAAGAGCTGGTGGTGGTCTCTGGGAGCAGCCCCAACCCAGCTCCCTGGTCTGGCCCTCCCTTTGGGAGGTTTGCACACCGTTGTTTGATTTATTGTAGGTGCCTAAAATTCAGCTGTATGAAAGTCCTTCTAAATCCTTAACAGGCTCATTGAATAAGGTCAGATTCAGAGGGAGGAATGACTTTATTTCTGCTGGTGAACTATGCACAGATGTCTCCATGTCTGGTTTAAATGTTCTAGGGTGTCTATGGGCCAAGAGCATACATTGCAACCCAGGGTCCTCTCCCCACTACTGTCATTGACTTTTGGAGGATGATTTGGGAGTATGAAGTCCTGGTAAGGTGCAGATTTATATTTAAAATTTATATGTTTGGGAGGATTTTGTTTGGTTTGGTTTGGTTGTTTTGTTTTTTCTTTTAAGAAAAGTTGTCCATACAGGCAGAAGTCCTTTGTGGGTCAGAGGGAGCTGAAGGGTTTTACTCCAGATGTTGTGTGTGCCCCAAATCCCTCCCATCAGCCTCCTGTGCCAGGAATCTGCTGGTGGCTGTCTCTGCCTTCGGGCTCTGGGTGGGAAGGTCCTTATGCCTGGGGCTGTGGGTGATGGTCCCTGTTTTGCAGTTGTGGCTGAGGGGAAAGAGCAGCCCACAGAACCTCCTCATTGCTGATAAAGACCTGCAAGGGATGAGTTTGATTTCACTGCCTGGATAAGGAACTTGTGTTCAGGCTTCTCTAATGAACCTTCTTTCTGCAGGTTGTGGTCATGGCTTGTATGGAGTTTGAAATGGGGAAGGTGAGTGGTGTGTCAGAGGTGGCCTCTGCTGTGACAGTGCCAGGGCAGGGTGAGAGGAGCAGCTTTTTATTAAATCTCATTAGTGACAGCGAGTTTCTGTTTGATATGAGCTGTTTTCTGAGTCTCCAGCTGCAAATGGTCTAGTGGGAGGTGTCCCTGCCCTTGGCAGGGGGGGTGGAACGAGATGACCTTTAAAGTGCCTTCCAACCCAAACCCTTCTGTGACTGTGAAATTCTTAAGCTGTTTCCAGTAGCATAAAGAGCCTCTCTGGAAAGGAGAGTGGTGGCTCCAGGGAAGGGGAGGCTGGAGCTGCCCAGCAACGTGAATTTTCTCCTGAAAACTGAGACAGGAGCATGGCTGGGCCAGCGGGGAATAACCAAACACATCCTGCTTCTCCCAACAGAAGAAGTGTGAGCGGTACTGGGCGGAGGTGGAGGGCTCTCCCCTGCACTGCGGCCCCTTCTCCATCACCTGTGTGAGTGCAGCCCCCACAGCACCGTGTCCTGCCCCAGCACCTGCCCCAGCACCCCGTGGCACCCACTGGAAATGTGACTCTGACTTCTCGTTCTGCAGGAAGCCGAGGAGAAGAGGAATGAGTACGTGATCAGGGCTTTGAAGGTGACCTTCAACGGGGTAAGCAGGAAAGGTCAAGGCAGGAAGCTCATCTTGGATGGCTTTATTATATAAATAATATATTCAGATACGGTACATTTTGTGCAGAAAATTTCATGCTGGTCAGGCTGCTGATTTAGATTTGACAGTAGTTGAGGGAACAAAGAAAGCAAAAAATTAGTTACCTCAAACGCCAGCTTCTGAAGCTGTTTGTCGGTTGTGGCAATAAGTGAAGCCAACAGGTAACGTCAAGAATGTCATAAAATGGCTTCTTCAGCAAAACCAGCAGCAAACTGCTCCTCTGCCCTTTGCCTGCTGGTGTAGGCAGGACCTGGAGATGTCTGCAGCAACCCAGCTTCCCCTTGCCATGCCAACACCCCTGTCTGTGCCTGCAGGAGCTGTGGCAGCGTCCCCTCGGTGGCACGGGCTGCCCCAGCCCCTGCCAGCTCTCTCCTCTTGCAGGTGACCCGCACCACCCACCAGTTCCACTACAAAAACTGGCCAGACCACCACGTCCCCTCCTCCATTGACCCCATCCTGGAGCTCATCAGGGAGATTCGCTGCTACCAGCCGGATGACAGTGTCCCTGTCTGCATCCACTGCAGGTGGGTGAGGTGGCTACCACTGGGGGAGGGCTGCTGGCCCCCTGGAGCCCCATGCTCCTGCTTCCCAAGTGGCCACAGGTGATGGCAGCTGGCCAAGCCCTCAGCCAAGCTCCTCTTGTGGGAAGCCCTAAGGCAAAGGGGTCCTCTGAGGACAGCTGGCATGGCCGGGTGACAGGGAAGGAGACAGGTAGCAGCAGGCCAGCAATAGAATCATAGAATCATGGCATTTTTCAGCTTGGAAAAGACCTTTAAAATGATCAAGTCCAACCATTGACCCAGTACTGCCAAGGCCACCACTAAACCACATCCCCACATCTACATGTCTTTTACATTCCTCCAAGGATGTGACTTCACCACTGCCCTGGGAAGCTGTGCCAGGGCTGGGCAACCCTCTTGGTGAAGAAAGTTTTCCTAATATCCAATCTAAACCTCCCCTGGCACAACCCGAGGCTGTTTCCTCTTGTCCTGTCGCGTGTTACTTGGAGAAGAGGCTGACCCCCACCTGGCTACCACCTCCTTGTGGCTGTGGAGAGTGAGAAGGTCTAGTTAAGAGATCACCAACTCTGGGCATGTCCATGTGTGGCTGATCACCACAGGGGGACTGAGAACTGTTTTCAGGGGACAAGCTGTGCCTCCCAGCCCGCAGCAAAGCCGGGGGCTTCACCCTACATGGGGTGAAGCTCA